ACTTTGCAAATGTTCATTGAAACATTTTCATGTTTTTACAAATCTGCTTATCTTGTAAATGTGACCATTTTTTCTCTTAGATATGTACAAATTTATATTTTTCTCAATTCTCTCATGGATTATAGCTTTAGAAACAAAACTGTCCTTATGAAATTCAGTGTGTTGTCTTCGCCATCATGTACAGCTGTATGCAAAAGTTCGAGTAAATTCTTATTGATTTTGTTTTACGTGACGCACACTGGAAAAATAAGCCTCCCCTAAGAGTTAACTTAATAAAAAAAAAACCTTGAAAAAAACCCTATTATAAATGTATAACACCCTTAGCTGTTATACATTTATAAGATGACTTTGAGAGTTTATATTTGGTCTATAAAGAAGAAATAAGAAAGCGTTTTAATGAAATACATTTTATTCCTTAAACTGAGAGATTTGAAATAGAATCTGGCGTGAGGGTTTGACCTTTTTTACACAGAGGTTAGGTCGCTTAAAGTCTAAATTATTTTTACGCCTCTTCAGTTTAATTATTATTATTTTAATTAGCCGCAACGTTAGCTATCATGCTAACATCTCACCTGACTTTCTCCTGGCTGTATCCGATCTTCGCCGTGTACGCTCCGTTATCCAAAACTAATGTCGCCATTTCAGAGGCGGAACTGCTCACATTAAATGCATTTATAAACTCAGATTAATCCAGAAATAAACAAAAACAAAACGCATTTCACATTTTCAGCGAGAATCCGCCATTAGAACTTTACGAACTCCTTCGGCCAATCAAATTTGTCGTCCTCTCGGTTTGTGGCGGATGGACAGCCAATCAGATCTTCACATCTTAGCCTTTACGCTTCTTTGCAGCTCGACCAGCCAATCAGAAAGAATGATTTTGACTGTGCTTTAGAAAAGTGTTCGGGTGGAAACAGTATCTTGCTTTTGTTCCCCCTCCTTTGTTCCGTTAATTTTTAGTCTCTTTTGCCCTTCAGAGTGGAATTAAATGACATTAATCGGAAGTTATAAACAAAATAACCGCCCATATACGACTTTTCCTTTAAACTAAGTGCACTTAGTTAATTATTGTCTTTCAGCATAATGTTGATGTAATTTATTTGAATATTTACATTTCATGCCACTATGGAGGCTTGGGACACACGACACGGGAGCTCCAGTTTTTCACTCCAACTTTATTCACCTCCATACATCAACTGAGCATATCGCGCCCAAACACAACAAGAACCCCTCCTCCAAACTTGGGTGTGAGTGGAACCATGTAGTGGGTCGTCAGTCAAACCACATTTTTTTAATGTTTCTAAAATCTGCACAATCACAGAGAAAAATCTTTTTCTTCTTCTTTTGCTTTCAGCTGCTCCCTTTAGTTTTCTCAGAGGACCATCTCCTCCTGTTCCAGCATCCTCCTCCGTCACTCTGACCTTCTGCATGTCCTCCGTCACTATATCCATGAACCTTCTCTGATAGGGTTGCCAACTCCCTGAAAAATAAATAAGGGACACCTCGTGGCCAGGGCCGGGCGACCCAGTTGTCTTCACCCTTCCCAGTGTGGTGAATTTTCTAGCTCTTTTTTTGTGTGTGAAATTATTTTTTTTTAACCCTTTGACTTGAATTTGATTTAAGCAGATGCATATTCTTTGTGATATGAACACATGTGAAACAAATGATCATTTAGCCATTTATTTTTAGCTCAAAATGACAACATTAACACAGTAAAACATTAACACACTTAAACAGAAGCCTGTCATGCTTAACTTTTGAGAATATAAGTAAATCTTTCTTTAAAAGCACTCTGTCCTGCTTAACTTAAAATTATATAAATTAATAGAAAACAATAGAACGAAAAATATTCTTGTAACAGTGCACATTTAGTGCATTTAGTACAATTGGCTTCAGCTGAGGTATTATTTCAGCTTTTCTAATGCTAATCAGCTGCTCCTGTTTGTAAACCCGCTTGTTCCCATGATTACGCATCATAACTCATCATCATTATTCATCTATGTATTACTTTTATGTATTAGTCATCTATTTGTTGTAATCATCTATCCTTGCAGTTGTTTATTACACAAAATAAATTATATTATCACACTTCTGGCCACATAGCGCTGATATTCACTGCACATGCCCATATTAACTTTTTCCAGCCAGGTGTTTTCCTTTTCCCATTCTTCCCTTTCTCTGAGGGGAACAAACATTGCTGCTCTAATGCTGGGCTCACACTGTGCGGTTTTAGGCCCATTTTGAGACGATTTTTGAGTGATCTTCATCGTGCATCGTGTAGTATACGTGGGGTAACGAGAAGTGATTAACACCTCGAGCAGCTCCCGATCATCAATCGCTCGTGAGGTTCTCACCACAGCCGCTCACACTGCTCGCGCGCAAACACGTAAACGTTGGTGTAAAAGATGGAGCAGCACGGCTGTGCAGCGTGTGATCTGGACACAAGCGATGGAGGCACAACTTGTAGAACTTTGGAAAGCTCATCCGAGCCTTTTCGATGTGGCCTCACAAAATTATCACGACCACAACAACCGTGAAAATAGTTGGATTTACATGCTGCTCAATCACAGCTGCCTGATCATGTTTTTCATTAGCAATTTAGCAAAGTTGATGGTGGTGGTGTGTCTGTGTGAGTGAGAGACAGAGAGAGAGAGAGGGGGAGCGACAGATTTTCTGTTATAACCTTCATGTTATGGAGGCACAGTGTGAGCACTCAGGTCGCATCAGAGCATCGGGCCGTATAGTGTGAGACCTGCATCTTGACCTATGAACGTCTAACCCCTGCGAGTCAATCGTGCAGTTTGAGCAGGAGCTGAATAACGTGACTGAAAAAATCGCACAGTGTCTGCCCAGCTTTAGGTGTACTGTCGTCCGAGACTTGCACCGCAGTGTCGGCGTTTGTTTCCCTGTTGGCCATGCTTCTTGTTGTGGTCAACTGTTGTCTTCCGGTATTTTCTCCGTAAGCGACCTTTCCTCGACCAATGAGATGAGCGGTAATCTGAATTGTCATACTCGAATTGTCATAAGTGTGCTGTCAGCTCATTGGTCACAAAGCAGGAGAGGGGCTGGGAATTATGTTTTCAAACAAAGCGTTAATTCCATTAACATTTATAGACTACTTTTGATTCTCACTGTATTACGGGACAAAGTGCGTCCCTTATTAGCTCAATACGGGACGTGTACTTTTGTTTCTAAATACGGGACGATTCCGTATTTTAAGGGACGGTTGGCATCTCTATTCTCTGAGGTCTTTCTCTTTTCCTCCTGCCTGCCAGCTCGATCGTCATCATTCTGTCTAATACAGGGGTTTCAAAGTCACAGCCCGTACTGACATGAAGAAACATAATGCAGTTTGGTTTTTTTGTTAGGGAGGATTTGTTTGTTGTTGAGTGAAATGTTAAAATGAGTTTTTTAAAAAGCCAAAAATGATTGAATATGAAGGCAAAATGAGCAGAGAGCACGAACATGCTGTTAGTTCAGTGACAGAGTCTCAAACTCGTGTTTATTTGGTGGTTCAACAAAAGGCTTCAGTTAGTTAAGAGTGAGGAAAAATAAATCTGAATTCACATTTGCGGTTTTGTCTTATACAATATTTGAAATTTAAACAAAACATTTTAGAAAATATTTCTGGTTTTCTTGTTTTGTACTACTTGCACACTAAAGTGGCCGTCCAATGAGACGACAGCAGCCCACAGCTCATTTCACTTTGACACCCCTGCTCTAATATCTCCATCCTGTGCAGCCTTCCTCAGCTCTCCTCGGATGGTTGACCCGAGATATTTAAACCCCTCCCCCCGTCTCTTTCTCATTCACACACACGTCTTTCATTCCTCTTCTCTTCAGAGCACGCCTCCACCCACACAGGCTCTCCTACGCCTGCCTGACCTCACCCGTCTCAAACAGGAGGGGGCTCAGAGCTTCAACCCATCTGTCCTGCACCACCCTTCCATACCTCCAATATAAACACAGTTCCTCTCACTGAAACACACCCGAGCTGTTCACATATGTCTTTCACCCTTTGCCCACAGAGGTTAAACAAAGGATGGCGATCACACTGAACCGTCAACTTTTCACACTCCAACTGTCATGCAAACATAAAACACAACTGAAGCATAAATCACGTCTGCAGGTGCGTCGAGCCGGCAGGTAGGCGGGCACTGCCTCGCTGCTTTATGCTCCTGAATATTTAAACCATCACCTGGAGTGGATCTTTATTCTGTGCAGTAATAAAATGATTTCCTCCATTATTTCATGCAGAAAAGACAAACTGGGGACAAACAGCTTCTTCAGACTGTTAACAAACACCACACACGTTTATTGTGTTTGCATCCATAATTCTGTTGTACGCACAAAGTGCTATTCTATGGTTTCCCGAAATGAAACAAAGCAGAAAATGAGGTGCTTGATCCTGATGCTTTTTCTCCTGCTTCCATCCTCAAAATGAAACCTGTCGTCCACGTGTGAGGACAGGACGCTCTGATGACTGTGCTCAGCTTCACTCACCTTTTTACAGGTTGCTGCCGTCACGTTTGTCCCCGAGTCACATTTACTCACAAAGAGAAACAATGAACAATGAGTCTGCTGCTGCAGGATGTGACTCAAGGAAGTGTCAAATTCTCTGTTTGCCGAGGCAGCAGCGTGAAAGAGTCTGAGTTTGTTCTTCAGTTCAAGTCAACTTTATTCATATAGTACAAACCCACAGCAGCGGCCTCAAACACATTTTATTGTGCAGTAAAGATCTTACAATAAAACAGAAACCCAACAATCAGACAGCGCCCTGTGAGCAAGCACTTGGTGACAGAAGGAAGGAAAAACTCCCTTTAAACAGGAAGAAGCTTCAGGCAGAACCAGGTAACCTTCATCTAGCCTCGAAATCGTTGTCTTCCTCCGGAGTCAAAGCATCAGCATCTTCTTCATTCGGCTTCCTTTCATTTTTAATGTAAACAAACCAACAACCACACGTGCAGACACACAGCCCGGCAACTAATTCACTTTGTAATAACCTTAAACTCAAGAAAGGACACAATAAAAATATGCACATTCAAAAAAGTCCAGAAACATCCCCAGACCTGTGTGTGATCCTGGCTGGTTGATGTCATCGTCTCTGTCAGAGTCTGTCATTCTTAAGAAATCAAAGCAACACTTAAAACATTAACGAAGAAACAAACTGGAAGGTGCGGCCGAGCTGCTCTGGGAGGACTCGAAGATAAAACCTGGAGACTCTGGTTCCGGTGATGGTGCCTGCAGCGCTTCAGGAGAGGCTGGATGTCAGAAACCTTCAGGAGGTCTTACTGCACAGCTCACCTGGCTTCAGACAGCAGACGGAGACAGAGTCCAACTTCCCTGAAAGCCTCACGCAGACAAGACACAGAGCAGGTGGGTTCACCTGGATTTGGTTTGCACGACTTGCTGGTCCCAGATCAGTCTCCAAATCACCGGCCGTGCGTCCGCCACCTCGCCCGTCACTCCAGATATTTGGGGACGCAGCCCTCCAGCCCGATCATCTCGGGCCAGCCGTCGTATTTGTTGGTTGCCGAGTCGCTCTTCATGTGCTGGAAGAGAGAGAGCGAGGAGGTGAAGAGGGCGGTCTCTGACATGCTGAGCAAGGTTAGAGGCGGCACGGCGCTCTCCTCGGCTTCTACAGAGCCTTTCACGTCTGACACGTGTGCTCAGGCTGAGCCTGGTTTGTCTCGTTGTTGCTGCTATAGAGCACATCTCCTCCTAAAGGCTGGCTAAGAGCTCAGACACTTTAACAAAAAAAGAAGAAGTGGAGATCAGTTCAGGATGGTTGTGATTGGTCAGGACTCAGCCAGCATTTGGGCCACCCCTCCACTATCAGGGGAAACCTGATACCTGCTCCCTCAGGGATCACACCTGCGTCAGGACCCTGATCCCACGTGAGCATTTAATGCTTTACATGCACGAGTGCACACATTTCCACGATGAAGCCAGAGCAGGCTCGATGCCTTCAGACTAATCTACCTTCTCAAAGGTGCTCTTCCCCGTTACTCCTTTGCCACCAATAAACACCCAGTTGTCCCTGTATCCCAGCGAGTGGATGTGGGAGCTTCCCAGTTCAGCAATCAGATTCTTGAGCTCGTCGTTTAACCTGCAGAAACACACAGAGGGTGGAGCAGTGCGTTAACAGCTTCAACACGGGTGGAGGCAGCGCCTTTCACCTCAATATGAAGACAACACAGAGACTGAGCTGACAGCTGAGACAAAGCCTCAGAAACACAAACTCCACCCCTGCCTGGAAAAGCTCTGTCCCGTTTTATAAAACAGACGAACACGGAACAAGATGCAGCATCCGCGCTGCATTTGGTCCTCGATTACTGTGCAAGAACAAGAACCCAGAGGAGAGTCCGAGCTCCCGTCAGGAGCGATCAGAGGAGGAGACTCTTACTTTGTTGAGGCTTCGTCGTAGGATGCCATTATAACGATGGAGCCCGTCTCGATGCTCTTCAGTAGCTCAATGAACGGTTTCACATCTGCAACACAAACATGATAAAAGCTCCGCCTCCAACCACTGACACGAGTCGGCTCGGGTCGTCTTCACTCACCTCCGCTGTACGTGTCATAGTGATCCGTCTTCAGGACTTCTCCCGTTTTACCTGCCAGAGAAAAACGAAGGTATCACCTCACACGGGATCACAGCAGAACACCAGGAGAGAAGCTCCGCCCATTCATTTGATGATTGAATGCGTTTCCAAAGAAAATCTTAAGACTAATTCTTAAAAAAGTAAAGGTTTAGAAATAAGAATAAAGCAGTGAAAAGAGAAAAACGAAACACCAGAAACCGAAAGAAAAGGAGCCGTCTCGATCAATCAGCAGCTGTGGGAGCGGTGAGGCTGCACTGTGCACAAAGCGCCAGATGAAGCCCTTTGCACAGGAAGCACACTCACCGTTTAGGATAACGATGTTTATTCCTCCTCCAGCGTTGTTCAGCGCAGTTCCCAGAACCCTGAGGAGAGGCACAGTCTGCACGTTAGCACAAAGAAAGGTCTGACAGGACGCCAGAGAGACGCGCTGAGGAAAGGAGGCGGCGCCTACAGTTTGTTTTGGACGCAGATGGCCGCGGGGACGACGTTGGCGGCTCCGCTGTGGATGTAGAAACTGATCTCATGTGCAGGACACTCTCTTGGAGTACCACATACACCAGCTGAAGGGAGGACAGAAAAAGACTGATTATTATCCTCCACCTCCTCCTCTGGGTCAGCTGACGCCCCCCAATCAGCTCGAGTGACCTCTGACCTGAACGCTTGCTGGATATTTTGGCTTCGCGAGGGAAGAAATTGATGAGCTTGGGTAATTTATGCCAACCACCTGCGAGGACAGAAACAAAACGACACTCATTAGATTTACAGAAACAGGTTTTTCTTCGCTTTAATACGAATCTGAAACATCCGGCCTGAGAGCGCAGCTGAAGGTGCGACCGTCCTCGGCGCTACAGTCAGTAGATCCGTGTCGTGCTTCATGCACTCTCACCTTCAGACGAGACGTTGGACTGCTGCAGGTAGACGACGACAACGATCACACACGCGACCGCCATCAGCCACAGCACGACGCCTGAGGGAGGCACACAGTGTCGTTAGCACGCTGTGTGAGGCGGTCGCACAGCTGCAGGACAGTTTCACGCATCACAGGCATGAGAAACACGTCTGACATCCTCACACACTCGCTTTTACCTTTAACGTTTCTCTTTGTCAAACCATTTGGATTGTTTTGGAAAATGTTTCCAGTTTTTTTAGAAGTAAATAAAATCAACAACCAAACCATGAAAGTCAATAAATGATAAGAACGACTTCAAATAAATGGAAAGAAGGCAAACCGGTGACTGCGGCTGGTTTATTACAGCCACGGGAAACATGAATGTTTCAGTTTTAAATGTTTAAATCACATTAAAGTGAGCCGGACACAGGCCCACGCGCTTTGTTGTGAATTATTGCTTTGTAAATTAAACGCAATCAAATATTTGCTCAGATTATCTTGGTTAAGATGTTCGTCGTCTGCATTTCTTTGTGCGCAGGTGAGCTGCCCTGCACACACAAAGGTGAGCTGAACACCGGTGTTCTTTCTCACAGATGTGCTCTCACTACAGGAAACATCTGCCTGCTGTGCTGAAGAGCGATCACCCGAAGTCAACTGTGGCTAAAACAGAGCTTTGTTTAAGGGTGGTGCCCCTGAAATATTAGGAAACATAGCAGCCGCACACGTGTGAAAGCCCGTCAACCTGAAGTCTGCCTGAAGCTCGTTTCTGCCAATGAAAGATAAAAACTGTTTCTGCCCTACACGCAGCCTTTAGGTGATGATCTTACAAGTTTCAGAAGCTGACATGTCGGACAATATTCGGCTGTTAAGTCGAATTTCCGGTGATTATCTCAAATTTGCCGTCTGCAATCTACTGACAGCTCGAGGCAAGATTTTACACACTAAACATTTAACATTTTGGCTTCTCTCAAAATTTGACGTTGAGGCAGAAACGAGCTTCCGTGCAGTGGGAGGAACATCAGTATGGAGGAAGACTCAGACAAACAGGAAGAAGATAAAGGCTGTATCCCAATCCAGGGTCTGCAGCCTTAAAGGCCGCATTTTAAGGCCGATTACGTCACCGCGACGCCACGAAGGCTGTCCCAATTCAAAGGCTGCTCGAAATGCGGCCCTCAAATGAGTCCTTCATTTCCCTGAATTTTAAGGATGTGGCGGTGTACACTTCATGGCCCAATATATCCCAGAACATGTCTGTGAAGGTTCTCAGTCATCCAGGTCATCGTAGTCAAAGGAGCTTGCAAAGAAAAGCGTCTGGACTTCTTTAAGTTGCTTGAAGACGTTTCACCTCTCATCCGAGAAGCTTCTTCAGTTCTAAGGTTAAATGGTGGAGAGTCCCCCCACAGAGGGACAAAAGGACCCCTGATGATCCTCTAATCGCCTGAGCCAAGGTGTGAAACTGGGTGTGGGTCCCAATCAGCCAGAGTTTCGGGTGTGTTCATTGTGAAACCTGGCCCCACCTTATCATGCGAATTCCTGAGGTCAGATGGCCCAGGATGTGAGTGGGCGTTAAGGCGTCTGGGAAGGATCTCAAAACTGGATTATAGATGGCAGACAGTTGGTGTCGTAAACCCCGCCTCTTTTCAAAGATGGTCGCTCACAGTGGACATAGATGCTTCTTTCACTCCTCTTTCAAACCATCTGTCCTCTCTGTCCAACATGTGAACATTGGCATCCTCGAAAGAGTGACCTTTGACCTTTAGATGCAGATGGACAGTCCTTTTGTCCCTCTGTGGGGGGTTACTCCCACTAGGTTTATATCTGGGACTCTCCACCATTTGACCTTAGAACTGAAGAAGCTTCTCGGATGAGAGGTGAAACGTCTTCAAGCAACTTAAAGAAGTCCAGACGCTTTTCTTTCCAAGCTCCTTTGACAATATCCCAGAATGCATAGCGGGGCAGTGGGTGTGGATAATTTTGCCGAAAAAAAACGGCGGATGAGGAGCGGCCGAAGAGTAAACTTTAAGTACTGAATATGACGTCACTTATTTATGTGGAAATTTTTACTAACGAAGAACATTAAAACATGACTGTTGGCCACATGTCAGCAAAGTCATGTGACATTAGTGACGTTTGTACTAACTTGGTTTTAAAGCCTTTACTTTAAAATATACGCCGTTCAGTAGCGGAGCTTAATCTCACAGAGAATGATCAAAGCTCATGTAGCAACAAACAAATGAACAAAAGATTTTCTCCTTCATCTCTGTCAAACACAGCTGTATGACACCATGGTTGCTAGGCAACCTGGGCAGCGCAACGGAGGCTAGACCGCCCATTTCACAAGCCTCGCACTTCCGGCCTTAGCGGTCTTTGAGTACTCGGCCCTGGTGGACCGTTAAGGCCGCAGACCCTGAATTGGGACACAGCCAAAGAGTGAAGGACGAAGCAAATCAACGAGGAGCGTCAGAAGCGCAGACAGAAAGAAACTTACTTCCCCGGCGGGCCGCGCACTTCATCGTGCTTCGTTTCCCTGTTTGAGACAAACGGGAGGAAACTTCAGGACATGCTCGTGTTCACATTAGGGCTGGGTATCGTCACTGATTTCTAGAATCGATTCAATTCCGATTCACAAGGTCCCAAATCGATTCGATCCACGATTCGATTTAATTCGATTCGATTTAAATCTGGGAAATTTTGACAGTCAGAAGTATAATTCAGATCAGAACATTTACATATTTTTGTATCTATAAAAAGGAAGCTGACACTCGCAAGACTTTATCCAAGGTGTGAGCATCACAGCAGAGGCCTTTGTGTCAAAGTAGCTGAAGATAAAACACAGAAAAACATGAAGGTGATTTTCCTGTTCTGGGATTTTATAAAAATATTCTGCAGTACATCAAAAACAAAAGAAAACCATTAATTAATGAACATTACCTCTGACGTTACAGCGGTTTTATTAGACACACGGCTAAGCATTTTGCATTTTGAATAATTTTAAAAAGTTTACATTTGTTCAGTATTGAACAGCAGAAATGAGGTTTTCTTTTCGGAAGAATGTAAAAGGGGAAAAAACAGCGGCCGACAGCCTGTAAACAACAGTAGACTTGTGTAACAAGCAAGCGAATAATGAAGAAAGCGAACTGTTCGAGAGAGAGGGGGGAGGGAGAGAGGGGGAGGGAGAGAGAGAGAGGGAGAGAGAGAGAGCTACGCATGGCAATGGAAGCAAAACAGAGTGAATTCATGACGATGTTTATGTGAAGCGTTTGGATCTTCTTTAGCTGCTGGTTCGGTCAATATTGTTTGGAGAGAGATCAAACTAACATCAGCGCATAAAGGGCGTGAACACAAAGCGCGGACCCGGATCAGCGAGCTGTCGGCTTTCAGCCCCGACTGTGAGAAAGTCACATCTCACTGATCCTGATCCGCGGGTTGCGCTGTGTGTTTAAGTCTATGTGCAGAATCCCTGTACCTGCTCTCATTTACTGTTTGGTGGTTCTTGAAATTTTGTGAGATGTCACCAGAGATTCTGGCATTTCGGACAAAATAAATTTATATTAAAAAATCGATTCAGGATTTTAATGAATCGATTTTACGTTATCCAAGCCAGAATCGATTTTAATCGATGAATCGATTATAAAAACCCAACCCTAGTTCACATCCCAGCTGTGATGTTCCTGTGGGACTAAAGCTGTGGATGCGTCTCGCACACCCACCGGGACACGCCGAGCGCTCGCAAGTGTGCTGCCCGTCCGTCTTTACTTACACAGTAAATAAGCTCACTAAAGTCTGTGGAGCAACGAGCTTCTGTGTTCAAACCACCTTCATAACCGATCCGTGTAAAATCTGTCCGCGGACCTGCTGTGACTCTCAGAAATACATTTTAATGTCAGCCAGACTTCAACAGGACAAATAAAGGATCTATAAAGTCACGGCCTACTTTGGCCTACTACTTTGAGACAGGAATGCTGTTTATCGAGATGATGTCATTCTCAAGAGGAAGCATTCAGCCTATGTTTGAAATGTTTCGAGCTTCGCAGCAGTTTAAATGCTGGAAATCACAACGCCGGTTGATCTAAACGCCAGTAGATCTGGAACACCGGCCCGAGACTCCGCACCTGAGCGCGCTCCACAGAAACTGCAAACACCTGAGCAGAGCTGTCAACCCTTCAGTCAAAGACTTCATGAATGTTTGGAAACTTGCTAAAGCTAAACTTACTTGCCGGGTACACCTGCACAGGTGCTCCGTAAAGATGCGCTTTCTTCATATTTTCAGCCGAGGAAAAGAAACCAAACCACACCGCACGTTACTTGTGTGACACCCGCGCAGGTACAGCAGCTCTCGCACCTTTTTCTCTCCGTGAAAAAACCGCGCAACTCATTCCTGTCTTTAAACCCCAGGTTTGTATCCCTCCGCCCACCCGTGGAGTTCCAGTCAAGTCAAACCTGAGACTGTATCAGGGGCGGATCTAGAAGGGTGGCATGGGGTGGCAAGTGCCACCCTAAAATGATCCCTTGCCACCCCAGTTTTGCATATGACAGTGTTGTTTATTAAAATAAGATAGCATTAACAGTTTGAGCGTAGTTACAGTCAGCAGTGAATATAAATGCTAAAACTGAAAATATTGCATAGTGTCCCCCCTCCATCAGTAACAAATGGTTCAGCCCATAGCAGGACCGGCTTTTTTCTTGTTTTCAGCAGCAAGCGATGCTCATGATCGTGCCAGAGCACATTTTGAACAACACCATGGGAATTTTGGATTTTACACAGGTGGGTGGATGTTACACTGTGGAAATGGAAGGACGGTGAGTGTTATTAACCCTCTGTGGTCCACGGACACGCTGCACCTCCAGATCACATGACTGATGTAAGCTGACACAGCAACAAGCTGCAGCCACGCTGAGTCTCTGTTTCAGCCACATTGAAAGTTCGGACTTCAAAGTTTTTAAATTTTAATTACAGGCCAGTAAATCCAGAGTTATGATCATATATATATCAGCCACGCTTCGTTCTAAATACTGTCGTCACGTGTGTGTTTTAAGCGTTTTGTAAGGACAGCACGAAAACAGGAAAGAAAGGAAAAAAGCCACCTCTTTCTTATTGGTGGAAAAATGCACCATGTCGACCAATTAAAAAAAGTCAACATGTGGGATTTGGTTGTTTAGGAAGAGGGAAAAGTTTGGGGAGTGACGGTAACAGGGCGAGCGAGACAGAGCGAGAGAGAGAGAGAGTTTAGATGTGGCAGATTTGTGACGTTTAGTGTGTTGTGTAGTCGTTCTTTTGTGTAGTCGTTTTGCTTAGTGTGTCAGTGAGGGCACTAATGACTGTCAGAGGCACATTTGCAACGTAAACACTGTCACTAAGTAGAAAACCAGCGGAGTGATACACCTGCTGTTGTCGGGCCTGCAGGTTTGTCCCTGTGCTCTTCTGTCTTTTGGTGGACAAACTTGTTTTTACTGGCACACATCATTTGTGGGGCATCTTATTGCCACACCTGATTGTTCTCTCATTTTAGTTTTAGTAATATTTTTAAATGGTTGTAGAAAATGAAACAAACGGTGTATTGGCTGCATTTTTAGATAAATAGTTGTTTATGTTTATAAAATGTACGTTTTATATTTGCATTTCAAGTTATAAACATTTACCCAACATGTCTGTGTTTTTTTACAGTAAAAAAACAACTAAAGTCAGTTGAGCTGAATTTAGTTGTTTTTTGCCTGTAAAAAGGCAATTACAAGAAAATGGAACAAGATAGACCCACCATCACAGGACGAATGGATCAAAATTATAGATGAAATACAAACTATGGAAGAATTGACCTACAGAATAAGGACTCAGGAAGATCAATACCATAAAAAGTGGGAGAAATGGACTGAGTACATAAACCCAACAGGATAAAGACCAACACACTGATAATGAGAAATGATCAAACTGTAGAAACAAGGAGATCCAACATGGGTTTGTTTTGTTATCCTACCTGTTGTATTTATCTTTTTGTTGTTGTTGTTGTTTTGGTGTTTTGTTTTGTTGTTACCCCCCCCCCCCCCCCCCTATAATGTTTAAAGAAAAACAATAAAAAGAAAGTAAAAAAAATAAATAAATAAATTCAGTTGAGCTGAAAAGAAAAAATAAAATGAAACAATCTGAGGGTGAAATACAAACGTAAACTCAAAGGAGTCACAAATGTCCGGTTGTATTTCAGACCTCAGTGGGTTCATCCAACAAATCATGAAAAATGAGGTTTACATGTTTGTTCATGACGGTGCAGATTTCTGACATTTTGTGTAATTTAAGCTGCAACAATGTGACTGTTTTCTAACAAAAACAGTGAAACTTAAGTTAGACTTGTGTTTGTAAATGAAGCGCCCCATGTTGTGTAGCTTTCTGGAGTTTATACTTATTGGGCTACATATTTATTTATCATACAGGCTATACAGTACATAGCATCAAAACTCACATGTTTTATGTAACTAAAGTGTGTAATCATGTGGGCTACAGACAATAATTAAGTTATCGACTATATTTATATGAAAAACGTGCATACTTACTGCATTTGAATCATGTAACCACATGTAACCACCTGCATGAGTGTTTGGGGGGAAAAGGCTTTGATTTTGCCACCATAAGAAAATTTCTCTAGATCCGCCCCTGGACTGTATATAAAAGATGGACGTCAACCGTGGGTTTGATGCCAGGAGGAGAGCTCCGTCAGTTTCAGGGACCTCGTTCAGTCAAATATGTGAAACGTATGTGTGGAACCCAGCAGCTCCACGCTGACGCGGCGTAAAGGTGAGGGGCGTCACACCTGGCTGTTACAGCCCATCTGTTTTTACCGTCGGCCTCATTTTCAGCATAAACTGCGTAACAGTGAAGCGTCTGAAACACGACTTATAATCCAAACCTGCAGGTTCCTGCTTCCTGTCCTCACACAGTAAAAACAACACTTTTTAATCAATGCTGATCTTTATTTCCTCCAGGAGACAAACGGCAAACAAAAGGCATGTTTTACGTTTTCTATAGAAAACCTGACAGTGCCACAGAGGTCACATGACCTGCAGCCTCTTTAACACTGAAAAGCTGGAGACAGAAATGTGCTTCAACGTTAGTGTGGTCGTCAGGCGGCGACTTACATTTGAGAACATCCCCGACATCAAACCCTCGATGCGCTTCAGTTTCACTTTTCAAACACGATTCAAGTCGTTATTGTTCCTCCTTCAGCAAGTTCACACAAAACGACAGAGAAAAGAGCAAAACATGAACAGAGTTTTTAAAACAATCAGAACAGCTCCGCCCCCCTCAAGCGAGGACGCTAGACTCATCAAGATAACGTCACGGTTAGTAGAAACACACGAAACACCTGCAGGCCGACAAAAGTCCTCTCATCATTAGAATGGACCTGCCTCTCTATTATTATTAACGGTAAGTTGAATGGCCTGGTTATGTAAATGACCGTGTCATGTGACAGACTGACCTCTCACCGAGCAGCAGACGCTTCCTTGTCCTGTCACACAGATGTAAACACACATTTGGTTCCTCGTCAATAACAAGTTAAGAGGCTTAAACGGCCGGCCGAATAAATCTGTGTAGATGACAGCAGCGCAGACTCAGCAGGTCGGGGTTACTCCACACACACACACACGCACGCACACACACACACACACACGCACACACACGCACGCACACACGCACGCGCACACACACACACACGCACACTGGTAGTTTACTGGCTACACTGGTGTAAAACCTCCCGTGTCCACTAACCCGTCGGCACGGTCATCGTTGACCGCAGCTGTACTTATTATTTTGGCTGCTGTAACAGGAATCCAGCTTCTGATTGGTTAATTTCTGGAAGCCTGCTGAGGGCCCTGTTACGCGCCCTCTTATTTGTAACACCTGGCTTCATTTAAACAGGACATACTCGCCAAACCCGTTTTACTCACAGAGGCTTCAGTCGGCGCACGCCATGACCACAGACCTGCAGCAGCTTCGATGGCGTCTGGTGCTCGCATCTGTTTTTCATATGGAAACGACGTCCTCGGGGCAGGAAGTTGCCGTCAGGATTTAAATAAAATCAAGGCACCAACTTTACTGTCCTCTAAGTGATGAACGCCGGCGTAACGCCATGTAATCATGCAATTCAGAGTAATCTGATTACAATTTACATTTGTGTTTTTCCCATGATGAGAATCTTTAAATATTTGTGTGCAGGCTCAGCGGTAAGTGTAGGACATGTGCAAGCGAAAAACCAAAGCAGAAAAGAGGCTGTAGGTGCAAAGATAGGATTGGTGTTTATTAGGGGTGCAACGATATTCGTATCGATATTGAACCGTTCGATACAGTGCTTTCGGTTCGGTACGCATATGTATCGAACAATACAACATTTGTAATTTCTTTTATCAATTTTCCTTCTGACGATGCTGTCTGTGTTGAGCGCTCAGTGGATCTGTGTTCGACTACTCCGCCTAGGCTGCACTGTCGAGCGCAGATCCACTGAGCGCTCAACACAGACAGCATCGTCAGAAGGAAGAGCGCAGGGCAAGCTAGCAAGACAGAAGTTAAGCTCTCCTTGCAACATGGACCTCCCCCACCCTCATTCAGATCTGGCGTTTGGAATTATTTTGGTTTCCATGTGACGTATGACCCTGAAGGTAAGCGAGTCATGGACTAAAGTAAAACAGTATGTTGGATGTGCCATGCAATGCTCAATTACATGGGTGGGAACTAGTGTGTTAGCGCAGTTAGCTCGTTAACGTGTTGGCCGTCTAGCCCCATGCACGGGGCGATCGGCGGTAGCTCGTTAACGGAGATTTGCCGTGTTGTGGCGTTAAGGTCATTTCAACGAGATTAACCTGAAAGCACTAGTGGGAACACAACGAATATGACTGCACATTTACGCCGACATCATCCTAGTGCAAAGACAAAAACAACAAGCATGCTACTAACTTTAGCCGAGTCATTTAGACAGCTGTTAGCACATGATTCTCCTTATGCTGCTGAGAATATAGCCCAGAAGAAGCGGATAGTATAGCTTTTATTTTGGAAAGAGACATTTCTCTGTAATAAACTCTCTTTTCCAAAGATGAGTGATTCCTCAATCAGATACAGGGCTCGCAAAATCGCTAGCCCGACGTCCCGGGGCTAGCGATTTTTTCAGTCGGGCTACCAAAATCTATCTCTGCCCTGCCCGTCGGGCTATTGTAGGAAGGAAAAATATATGTCAATGCTTTTGCATTCTTTCAGAAATGTAGCTGGGTAATTATGTCATTGGCATCGGTGAGCCACTGTCAATATGTGACATATTGAAGTCGCGTTTGAATTTGCGCTTGTTTTTTTGCTTTCACTTTGCAATCGTGCAAACTGTGTATAGAGAGCGACAGCACTGATCTGTGAGTGATGATAATTTGTGCACCAATTCCTCTGACATCGTC